AGACTCCATCACCCAGGCTGGAGTGCAGTGGCATGCTCACGGCCACCCCAGTGTCAACCTGCTGGACTCCAGCGATCCTTTTGCCTCAGCCTTCCAGGTAGCTGGAATTACAGGTGTGCACTACCACACCCAGCTAATTTTTTAATTTTGTGGTAGAAACGAGGTCTCACCATGTTGTCCAGGCTGGTCTTGAACCTGCAGGCTCAGGCAACCTTCTCGCCTCAGCCTCCCAAAGTGCTGAAATTATAGACTTGAGCCACCGTAAACGGCCCCAAGTGACTTTTTTTTTTTTTTTTGAGTTGGAGTCTCACTCTGTCACCCAGACTGGAGTGCAGTGGCCGCTCCCAGCCACCGCAGCCTCGACCTGCTGGGCTCCAGCGATCTTTCCACCTCAGCCTTCCAAGTAGCCAGAATTATAGGCATGTGCTACCACGCCCGGTTGATTTTTTGATTTATTGTAGAGATGAGGTCTCGCCTACCCAGGCGGGTCTCGAACCCGCAGGCTCAGGCAATCCACTCACCTCAGCCTTCCAAAGACGCGGGATTACAGGCTAAGCCACCGAGCCCGGCTCCCATGTGACTTTTCTATGTGACCTTTGGCAAATTACTTAACCTCTCTTTTCTCACTCTTAGTAGGGATAAAAGTAGTATCTGCCTCATCGGATTATTATGAAGATTAAAGTTTTTTTGTTTGTTTTTTGAGTTAGAGTCTCACTCTTGTCGCCCAGACTGGAGTGCAGTGGCACATTCACAGCCACCACAGCCTCAACCTGCTGGGCTTAGGCGATTCTTCAACCTCAGCCTTCCAAGTAGCTGGAACTACAGATGCACTCTACCACACCTGGAAAATTTTTTTACTTTATTGAAGAGACAGAGTCTCATCAAGTTGCCCAGGATGGTCTCAAACCCCTGGGCTCAGGCAGTCCTCTAACCTCGGCCTACCAAAGTGCTGGGATTACAGGCTAAACCACTGTACTCGGCCCTAAATTATTTAATACACATGAAGTGCTTAGAACACATAGGAACTGCTAGCTACTTTATTATTATTATTACTGCTACTACGACTACTGAGATGTGAGAAGGCTGCCAAGGGCATACAAAGGAGGCATCTTCCTAGAGCAGGCTGGGGTGGCCTTCCAGAGGACAGGTGCTGGAGCTGCATTTGAGATGAATAGACATCTTCGGATTGTGGAAAGAGGTGTCTTAGGCAGGGGTCAGCGAGCCTGCAGGAGGAGAGCGTGATGAGCAGAGGGAATTGGTCACTACTCATCATGCCCGACGTCCTCAGAGGATAAAGGAGGGCACTGGAGCCAGAGGGGTTCAGGGCAGACCTTGAGAAGGTTGAGGAATGGGCAGGATTTAGAGAGCCTTCCCAGGGCCAGGGAAGGGTGGTATCCAGGTAGGCCTTGAGGGGCACCCTTGCCCCTCTCTCCTGGCCCTCCCAGAACTGTGCTCTCCTGGGCTGGGCCTGTCCCTGGCTCACAGTCTACTCCTGGCTCCCCAGCTGTCTGGAGTTCTTACTGGATAACGGTGCAGACCCTTCTCTGCGGGACAGGCAGGGCTACACAGCTGTGCACTATGCAGCCGCCTATGGCAACAGACAGAACCTCGAACTGGTATGTGTTGGGATCCAGCCTGCGGGGAGGGAGGTGGGGGCAGGGCACACAGTCCACTTCAGGGTTTATGGATTCTGAAACCAAAGGGCTGTTGAATCAAACGTGGTCTTTAGATCCAGGGTCTTGGGGGGAATACTGTGAGTGGGGGAGTGGGGTAACACCTTGGGAGTTCCAGGCTCTCAGCACCTGCTTTCCTGTCTATTGCAGCTCTTAGAAATGTCCTTTAACTGCCTGGAGGATGTGGAGAGCACCATTCCAGTCAGTCCTTTGCACTTAGCTGTGAGTCCCAAGTCTTCTCCTCTTGCCTTTCTTGTGTCTGCCTGCCCTGGCCCACACACAGCTGTTGGCGCTTGTGAATTTATCCTTGCTTCCGCCTTCTTACGGAGCTGTGGCAAGCAGGCAGGCGATTATCCGGAGAGGGGTGAGCACAGTGCAGGGGAAGAGGCCCTGAGGGGCCCAAGGAGCTGGCAGAGGGCTCAGTCTGGAGCCTCCCCGAGAGCCCCAAGAGCAGAGTTGGGGCAGGGAGGGGCAGGGGAATGTCCTGAGCCATGTCCATGGATCACCTCACCCGCCAGGCCTACAACGGTCACTGTGAAGCCCTGAAGACGCTGGCCGAAACGCTGGTGAATCTGGATGTAAGGGACCACAAGGGCCGGACTGCACTCTTCCTGGCCACTGAGCGAGGCTCTACTGAGTGTGTGGAGGTGCTTACGGCCCATGGCGCCTCTGCCCTCATCAAGGAGCGCAAGCGCAAGTGGACGCCCCTGCACGCTGCTGGTTAGTGCCCCCTTTGGGCCGCTGCCCTGCCCTTGCCATCAGATCCCTCCTGGATGGGGTTGGGCTAGAAGTGGTGTAGGGTGAGGAGAACGGAAACTTCAAGCGCTGGTTCGCAGCTTCCTGTCCTCAAAGATTTGTCCCTGCCTCAGGTCTTCCATAACCTCCACTCCGAGTCCTTCAGGCTTGACCTGGCCTCCCTTACCCCTCCTGATGCTGCCCTGATACAGGCTCCCTATTCTTCCCCAGCTGCCTCTGGCCACACTGACTCCCTGCACTTGCTGATCGACAGTGGGGAACGCGCCGACATCACAGATGTCATGGATGCCTATGGACAGTGAGTGTGGGCAGGGGTGGCCACAGGCTTTCCAGTCCCTGCTGGACCCTCACCCTTTCTCCTGCCCCCTCCATAGAACCCCACTGATGCTGGCCATCATGAATGGCCACGTGGACTGTGTACATCTGCTGCTAGAGAAAGGATCCACAGCTGATGCTGCTGACCTTCGAGGCCGCACTGCCCTTCACCGTGGGGTGAGTGAGTTCCTGGGTGGGACTGCTCCCAGATGATCCTCGATGTGGGCGCATAGGCCCCACCAGCAGCAGGGTGTTTGATAACTGAGAAGGCGAGCCAGGATTTTGTGCCCAGGCTTGCTGGGCTTGTTCCTGGATGAGCCCCCAACATCCCAGCTGATCTCCCTGATTATCGTGTGTTGTAACTACACAACCACGTGCTTACCTTCCAGGATCTGCCCAGGATACCTGCTGGCCCTGTCCCATCAGATAATGGTGCCACCACCCAGGTCTTTCTCTACTATCACTTGTCCTAAATTGCCTCCTCCTCCTGCTGGACTTTTTTTTTTTTTTTTGAGTCAGGGTCTCACTCTGTTGCCCAGGCTGGAGTGCAGTGGCGTAGTCACATGTTACTGCAACCTGGACTTCCTGGGCTCAGATGATCTTTCCTCCTGCCTCAGCCTCCTGAGTCCTAAGTAGCTGAGACTACAGATGTGTGCCTCCATACCCAGTTAATTTTTTAGTTTTTTTGTAGCAATGAGGTCTCACCAAGTTGCCCAGGCTGGTCTCAAACTCCTGGGCTCAAGCAGTCCTCCTGCTTCGGCCTCTCAAAGTGCTGGAATTACCGGCGTGAACCACTGCACCCTTCCCACAGGACTTATTGATTCCTAGTCTCTTTCTCGCTCTCCATTGGGCCTTCACTCCAGAACCCCACCTGGTTGTTGGCAAAGAGGAGATCCTGATCCCTTACACTTAGAAAGACTTGCAGGCTGGGCGTGGTGGCTCAGCCTATAATCCCAGCACTTTGGGAGGCCAAAGTGAGAGGACTGCCTGGTCCCTGGAGTTCAGGACCAGCCTGGGCAACTTGGTGAGACCTTGTCTCTACAATAAATCAAAAAATAAGCCAGGCGTGGTAACGTGCACCTGTGGTTCCAGCTACCTGAAAGGCTGAGGCAGAATTGCCTAAGCCTAGCAGATTGAGGCTGCGGTGGCCGTGAGTGTGCCACTGCACTCCAGCTTGGGCAACAGTGAGATGCTGACTCAAAAATAAAAAGTAAAAATAAACAGAGATTAGAGCACTGAAGTAGTTCTTTTTGTTCTTTTTGAGTTGGAGTCTCACTCTGTTGCCTAGACTGGAGTGCAGTGGCACATTCACGGCTACCCCAGCCTCAACCTGCTGGGCTCAGGCAATCCTTCCACCTCAGCCTTCCAAGTAGCTGGAACTACAGGCATGCAGCACCACACCCAGCTAATTTTTTTTTAATTTATTGTAGAGACAAGATCTCAAGTTGCCCAGTCTTGTCTCGAACCTCTGGGCTCAGGCAGTCCTTTTTCCTTGACCTCCCAAAATGCTGGGTTTACAGGCATAAGCCACTGCACCCAGCCTTCTTTTTTTTTTTTTTTTTTGAGTTGGAGTCTCACTCTGTCACAGACTGGAGTGCAGTGGCATGCTCCCGGCTACCACAGCCTCAACCTGCTGGGCTCCGGCGATCCTTCCGCCTCAGCCTTCCAAGTAGCCGAAACTACAGGCGCACACACTACTACACCCAACTAATTTTTTAATTTCTTGTAGAGACGAGGTCTCACCAAGTTGCCCGGGTGGGTCTTGAACTCGCAGCTCAGACAATCCATTCGCCTCAGACAATCCAAGGGCCTCCCAAAGTGCTGGGATTACAGGCTGAGCCACCGAGCCCAGCCCTTTTTTTTGTTAAGTAGTAATCTCACTCTGTCACCCAGACTGGAGTGCAGTGGCACACTCACAGCCACCATAGCCTCGACCTGCTGGGCTTAGGTGATCCTTCCACCTCAGCCTTCCAAATAGTTGGGACCCCTGGCATGTGCCACTACACCTAGCTAATTTTTTATTTATTGTAGAAATTAGGTCTCGCCAAGTTGTTCGTGCTGGTCTCAAACCCCTGGGCTCAGGCAGTTCTTTAACCTCTGCCTCCCCAAGTGCAGTAATTACAGGTGTGAGCCACCACACCCAACCTGAAGTGGTTCTTACTCTGGGGCCAACCCCCAGCAGCAGGCCAGTGGAAGGGGAGAGGCTTTTCACCCCCCAACACTGTGTGTCCCCTGTAGGCAGTGACTGGCTGTGAGGACTGCCTTGCTGCCCTGCTGGACCACGACGCGTTTGTGCTGTGCCGAGACTTTAAGGGCCGCACACCCATTCACCTGGCCTCAGCCTGTGGTCACACTGCAGTGCTGCGGACCCTGCTGCAGGCTGCCCTTTCCACAGACCCCCTGGACGCCGGGGTGGATTACAGCGGATACTCGCCCATGCACTGGGCCTCCTACACTGGTACAGCCGGGGACCTTCGTGGACACAAGAGCTTGTCGGGTGTATAGGGGGACGCATGGGTTGTGAGAGAGACCTGAGTTGATCTGAATCCGGAAGCAGAATAGGGCGTTAAGAAAACAGGATACGGGGAGACACCCCTTATCAACAAGGGTGCCTGAACGAAGCATATTTGTATACCTAACCCTAAACTGTACCCCACAATATCAAAATAAAAAATATTGATGTATAAAAAATAAATAAAAACATAAAAAATTTTTATGAGAGAAAAAGAAAAAGAAAACAGGATAGGCGTAGAGAACCTGGTTGTTTCTCTCCATTGCTCTTTCTTCCTGTTGCCCAGGACATGAAGATTGTCTGGAGTTGTTACTTGAACACAGCCCGTTTTCATACCTGGAAGGAAATCCCTTCACTCCTTTGCACTGTGCAGTGTAAGTCCCTTCTGCATCAGTCCCTCTGGAGGGGCTATGACCTGGGCTCAGGGGAGTATCCACTTCCCTTGTCCCTCCTGATGATCCCGCCTACTTCTTCCTGCAGAATTAATAACCAGGACAGCACCACAGAGATGCTGCTGGGAGCTCTGGGTGCCAAGATTGTGAACAGCCGAGATGCCAAAGGACGGTGAGTGGCAGCAGACATGGGGAGAAGCTGAGTTGCCTCTGCTTCCTCTTTCTGCTCAGGCAGACGCCCCTTCCCTACTCAGTGTCCCCTGACCCCACCCACAGGACCCCCCTTCACGCCGCTGCCTTCGCGGACAATGTCTCTGGGCTCCGGATGCTGCTGCAGCATCAGGCCGAGGTGAACGCCACTGACCACACTGGCCGCACTGCGCTCATGACGGCGGCTGAGAACGGGCAGACTGCTGCTGTGGGTGTGTAGGGGCCACGTGTGAAAGGGAGGCTCCCCTGGGGTGTTGGCACAGTCACTTGGCCCTGCTTGTGGGGCTGGCTGGGGCTCAGGAAGCCGGAGGGGGGTCTTTGGATGTCTGCCCCTCTGTGAATAGGATGCAAAACGTGTGCAGCTGGGAGGGTGGAGCGCCCAGAAGGCTGCTACTCTGGGGGAGGCGTCAGTCCCTCTATCATGTGTCTCTTGTAGAATTTCTGCTGTACCGAGGGAAGGCGGACCTTACTGTGTTGGATGAGAACAAGAACACGGCCCTCCACTTGGCTTGCAGCAAGGTACTGCCTGAGTGACCGGGGGCGGGCGGGGGGCTGCATGAAGGGCAGGGCATTCTGAAGGGGGTCGGTCTTGGAAGCAGAGAGGACTGGAGCAGAAGTGACGATTGTCCAGCCTGACTGGTGGGACAGCTCCCTGTGTGCCTACCACCCTCCCCAAACCCTACCCTGTGGCTGTCACAAGTTCACATCACAGGTCTCCGCTCTCTGTTCCCCTCCCTCAGGGCCATGAGAAGTGCGCCCTCATGATCCTGGCAGAAACCCAAGACCTTGGCCTTATCAATGCTACCAACAGTGCGCTGCAGATGTGAGTGCCTGGGAAAGGGGGCTCCTGGCTGGGGGAGGCAGGTGGGTGAAGACAGAGCAGCCCCATCCCAGGGGCTCTCTGGAACCCACTGTATTTGTTCAGCGCCCTCACCACCCTGCTTGTGTGGAAGGGCAGCTTGGCATCCCACTGGCTTCATGCTCCTTCCTTTTTTTTTCTTCCAAGGCCACTCCACATTGCTGCCCGGAATGGTCTAGCCTCTGTGGTGCAGGCCCTGCTGAGTCGTGGGGCCACAGTGCTAGCTGTGGATGAAGAAGGTGGGTGGGGTCCAGAGCCCCCCGCCTCTCCCGGGTTTGGGGTCAGGGACATTCTTCAGGAGGTGACTTCTTAACCTTGCTATAAATGAGATTTTCTTCCCAAGGGAACTCTTCAGAGCAGGGACCCAACACCAGTACTCTGGAGTCTCAGAGGGGAGTCTGATGGAACTAGGTGGAGCCAGCAGGGTCAGGAAGACCTCCCCACCCCCAGGCTTTCCTCCCATGCTCCGCCCTTTACCCCACATTCTGAGAATCTGCCTGTCAGCCTTCCTGGGCCCCCGTCGCCCTTGCATTCTGACCATGCTGGGTGCTGCCTGCCTGGGCTCCCCCCACAGATAAGAGACCTCAGGGCCTGGGGGTGGGGTGGATGGGACCCAGGGATGCAGAACCCTGTGCCTCAGTTCTCCCCTTGGCCCTGCAGGTCACACCCCAGCACTGGCCTGCGCCCCCAACAAAGATGTGGCAGACTGCCTGGCCTTGATCCTTTCCACCATGAAGCCTTTCCCACCCAAGGACGCCGTCAGTCCTTTCAGCTTCAGCCTGCTCAAGAACTGCGGCATCGCAGCCGCCAAGACGGTGGGTGGCTGTGGCGCCCTGCCTCATGGGGCCTCCTGCCCCTACAGCCAGGAGCGGCATGGCGCCATTGGGTTAGATGGCTGCTACTCTGAGTAGCCCCCTCCGGTGTTCCTCCCCCTGCCGGTGGCTTGATATCTAATTCTATTTATTTAGAAAAAGTCTAAACATTTAGGGCACTTTAAAGGAGAACACGACTGGGTGGAAGGGACGGAGCGGGGGAAGGAAGCACTGGGGAGCAGCTGCTTGCCCCTTTGCCGTACCATACTGGCCTGGCAGGGGTCTGGGACTGACAGGGAGCACCCCAGGCCCTTGGTACCCCCAGGGCCCCCCCTTCTGCCAAGTGTCCCAAAATGATTGCTAAATGCCTGGCTTTCCTCTCTTTGACTCCATCTCTCAGCTCCCCTTTCTGCTGCCAGCTCCCCCACTCCTCCTCTGACTCTCCTCTCTGTGCCCCTCCTCCTCTTTCCCCACTGCCAGGCAGACCCCCTCCTCTTCTTCCATACCCATCACTGCCTCCCTGCTCGGCTGGTCCCTCCATCCCCGCAGCAGTGAGAAGCCTTAATTTCTGGTACTGTGTGAGCACTCTGGGGGTGTCCCCCTCCCCCTTCAGGGGCAGCTAGAGGACAAGGGGGGAGGGTATTTAGCACTGGGGCCTGGAGCTTTCCCTCCACTTCTGTACCCTGTCATCCCTAAAGTTCAAATGCAAAACACTTGAAGCAGCAACTACTGTACCTGGGCCCCAATCCTGCACTCTCCCCTGGCTCCTCATATGCAAATCAAGGGCTGGTTCTGCCCCCACAGCCTGCCCCTCCCCCCCCCCCACTCCTGGCCTGGCCCCGTAACCACGCACTTTAACCTTGCTTCTTTCTTTTAACTTCTTTTGGGAGAGCAGAGCCTGCGGCCATTCCCTCCCTGGCTCTCCTTTCCCCAAATTTTGAGGCTTGTCATGAATTTTTAAGTAAGCGTTTTATCCTTTAGGGGAAGAAACAAATTAATTTCCTGCCCATTTCAAAACAGCCCTAGTATGTCCTGTGTGTTTCAGGCATGTGTTTGCATGTATGTGGAGGAGGGCCCGTGTTCTTCCTCCTGTGCCCCGAATCCCACAGTTCCTCTGTGCCCCTGACTGCCTCCGCCTTCCTTTATGTCCAAGAGTACCCACTGTCCCTAGTCACTCCTGATCTGAAGCCAAAGATGGTGGGAGGGGCAGGGCTGGCTAGGGACCATGGCTACTTGGGACCCAGGCTTCCCCTCCAGTGTGAGGAGGAAGCTCTGGTCTAAGAGATGATGGGATAGTGGGGCTTGGTCTCTGCCTCCCAGCAGTGGGGAGAGATGGAATTGAGCTAGGGGCTGCACTGAGAAGATCTCTAAAAGTTGCACCCCACAAGCCAAACTGGGCTGGAGTGAGGAAGGGGCAGTTTTCTCTTTAAATGTAGCATTGAATTTGGCCCTGGTCCCTTTAAGTGCTCTGTCCACCCATCTTCTGGTGAAGCCCCCCGGACAGCTGGACCCGTTCAGTAGCCCAGTGTTCCCTTCCTCACACTCAATACCTCAGCCAGGGGCCAAGACACAGAACTTGAATAGAGGTCCTGCACCCCCAGCGCATCCTCGCCCAGTTTGGCTGCCATCAGTATTGTCCCCTGAGAACTGGACAGGCTTCGTTTACACAGTACAGGGTCTCCCACCGGGGTACCCCTCAACCTCCTTCCCCCACCCACGTTTGCTTTATTCGCAATCTTACCCATTTTCCCGCCGTGTCCCCGCATGTCTTGCCACCCTTACCAAGGGTGGGCTGAGGGTAGAGGGGGCGTCCCAGGGACCCCTCCCTCCCCAGCAGACACCCTTAACCATACCTCATGCTGGTTCCCTGAAGCCTGGGGTGTTTGTCCGAGTCCTTCTCATGGTCCCCTTCTACCCTCTCTGCGTGTCTTGCTTCCTCCAGTCCTCAGTTCCTAAAGCATTTCAAGGCTTCCAAATGACCGTTATTGGTGAGAAGGGTTGTGCAGCTTTTTGTTTTCATTTTTGTTTTCAGAGCCAAAGGGCCTTGCGATGCCCCTCTTACCCGCCTCCCTTCACCCCGCCCTCCCCTCTACGACAATCAGTGTGACCTCTCTTAAGGGCTGCAGCCCCACCCCCACCCCTGCTGGTTCTGCAAAGCTTGCCCCGAACTCCAGTTCTCTCTCCTAACATCTTCCCATTCCTCTTCCCATTCCGCCCCCTTCCTCTCATCTTGGTGCTGGGAATTCGATGGTGGGGGCAAGGGGAGCAGGGGATGGGTCCTCAGAGAAAGCTCGGGTGTCAGTCGTGTTCTCCTTTATCGACATTTGGCAATGACAGGAAGAGTCTGAGTATTTGTCGGGAGCCCCCTTGTCTTGCGAGAAGAGATTTCTGGTGGCTGTCTGCTCCCTGCCGCCCCTCCGCACACTGTCAGCAGTGCTGGGAGGTGGTGGGGAGTCCTCTGTCCCCCCTCATGTGGCTGTGAGGAGGCCTGGGGGACGAGCAGCCTCCTCTCTTTATGCCAAAGGAAACCCCACACCCCACCCTGGGCTCCCAGCCCCTAGTGTTCTTTGAAGCATTTTGACCATTCTCATGGCCACATATTTATTTTAATATTAAGATTTTTTTTTAACCTCTTTGACTTAAACGGGTGTGGAGAAGTAAAACAGGCAGAATGCCCCCCAATCTTAAGGGGGGGAGGGAGGGGAGGAGACACCTCCTTCCCTTCGCCCTCTTCCCCTCCCCCTCTCCCCACCACAGCTCTAAAGCACTTGCTTCAAGTAATAAGCACTTTTGTGAAAAGGCCTATTTTAAGTGAGGACCCTGGGAGCAGCCCCAGGTCCCAGCAAAGGAGACAGAGCGACGGCTACATAGGAGACAGGGAAACAGACGTGTGAATTAGAGGGTGAGATGACAAGAGCCAGTTTTTCGTTTCTGATTTCTGGGGGGATGTTTCTGATTGGGCGGTGGCTCTGGTAGGGTTGTGTACTATCCTTCAGAAAAACAAATGGCACAAACTGTGGGTCCCAGGATGGACCGACAGACCCGGGTCACTGCCACTGTCCAACTGAGACCGACGGGCCACCTCCCCTGCCCCGTGGCCCCCTGAGCCATAGGACTGCTGAAAACCACTGAATGTACAGCCCAGGTTGGGGTGGGGAGCAGCCCCTGGGGGAGGGGCTTCTCCTTTTGTTTGGTGCTGTGGGGGGGGAGAGGTGAGACTGAGGGACTGTTACCCCGTGTAGACACGTTCCTTGGGGTGGAGGGGCTGAGGCGGGCCTGCCTCCCTCCCCAGCCCCAGCCGTGGCCCTCTTCCTTCCTCGCCCCTATCCGTTTTGACTGTAAGTCCAGCTCACCTTTGCCTTCAATATGTAACCAAAGGAAAACTCAATACTGTTTCCACCACTGTCTGCCCACCCAGCACCTTCTTCCTCCCTGGACCTAGAAGGGGAGAAGAGGCTGGGGGTGGGGTGCGCGGGGCCAGAATGAACGGTTCTACAGCTCTACCCCCAAAACCTTCTCCGGGTCTTGGAAAGGGTCCTCAGAGATGGGGCTGGGGCCAGGCTGGCAGGGCTGAGAGCAGGCACACCGTGTGTCTTGTGCACGCGCATGCCACTCTGTCGAAATGACTCCAGTGACCGTGCTCCAGCAGGGAGGCCCCTTCCTCCCAGCCATTTCTCACCCTCTCCCCTTACCCGGTGTTCATCCCCCACCTTCCTTCCCACCGCAAAGGAAAATAGCCTTACAGACCCTAGCCCAGAAACCCTACTCCGGGGCAAACCAGTATGGGCCCCCATCCCACTAGTTGAACCCTACCTTTAAGAAGGAGGGATAAGGAACAAAGCAGCCCCTTCTCCTCTCATCATGGTGGCTCCTGCCCTCTGCGACCTTGACCCAGGTTGGGCAGGGCAGAGGTGAGGAGTCAGAGGACCAAGCCCAGTGGTCTGGGAAGAGGAAGGTGAGAGGAAAGGGTCTTGCCTGGGCACTCCTTCCTCCCAACCCAGCCCCTAGAGAAGCGACCAAATCCCAGAGACAGGGAAGCTGGGTGGTGAGGGTCTGCTCTTTGAATTACTTGAAGGTACTGACTCCAAGGCTGCTGTTGCCCACTTAGGTGTGAGGGGGACACTGTCACTGCATCTGGGAGGGCGAAGGGTGGCGGTGCCGAGAGGATCCGCCCTTGGCCCTTGCTCCTTCCTGCTTAGCCCTTTCCCTGGGGAATCTGGAAGCCTGACTCTGCCCCCAGGGAGGTTGGGGAGAGCCTCCCCTCCCGACTCCACCCTCACTCTGGGCACCCTCTCCAATTGCACTAAGTAGCTGTTGTGCCAGTCTTCCCCCCACCCCGGGGGGTCTCTGCTTCCAGTCTTCTCCCCCCCTCTGCCTCCGCTCCCATCCCGGACAATCTCCTCGGTCCCCTCGTATTCCTGGATAGCTCAGCTTTGTGTGTGTGTGTTTGGGGGGGTGGGTTCTGGCTGGAGTGGGCACGGCAGGGGTTTGGGGAAGGCTGGGGAAGGATGGAGGAGGAGTCTCCTGCCCCCTCCCCCAACTCCAGCTGCAGGAGCCTGGGAGGGAGGTGCCTCCTGCTGCCGAGTGTCTCGCAGATGTGCCAAAATGGGGCGGGTGGGGGGAGGGTGCCTGGCAGAGCAGCCCCCAGGGTGGCTCTCTCAAAGCAATACAGTCCCCTGCCTGGGGGACAGCAAGACAGGGGAGAGGGTTGGGCGGGGACCTGGGAGTTCCCATGTACAGCTATGTATATTCAGGGGTGTTCTCTGTCTGGTACCCACTGTGGGCATCTCTGTGTGTGTGAACCTCCCCTTCCCCATGCCCTGCATGACCTGTGATGCTGCAGACACCACCATCCTGTGTGCAGGTGTGTGTTGGGGGGCACGGAAGGGCATGTTCCATGTCCTGTTGCACCCTCCACCCTGTGACCCATGTACTCGGTTGTAGGAAGTAAAGAGAACTGAGCACAATTCACTGGATTCTAGTGGAATCTTTCTCTAAGCAATTTCCCCATGCCTGCCCTCTCCCTGCCCCGGATCATCCGTGGTGCTAGTGTTGGGGTCGGGGGTGTTTCATGCTGGTGGGCAGCAATAAAGGGCAGCTGTGCCCAGACGGCTGCATCCCCAGGGTGCCGAGGGCAGCAGGTAACGTGGGGACCTCCATGCATCTGCCCTGCCCCCCTCCCCCCTGGGCTAAAGCACAATGCTCTCCCTGCAGATGGATGACCCTGCACCCTCCAGGCCCCCACTCATGTCCCCCCAACCTGCTTCGAGTCCTCCCACCACATCCTGGTTTTCTATGCTGTTTTGGTGCAAGTACAACTGTCGTAGTCCTGGCTTTGGGATGGGTTCTGTTTATTAAAATCCTGTTGCTCCTACCGGCCCTGTGTCCCGCCTCCATTCCTGGGGCTGGGGGGAAGGAAGGGCGACCCGGACCCCTTCGCCCGGCCTGTCAGTCCTCAGAGGCCCAGGGCAGGAGCTGCTCCTCCAGCAGGGCTATGGCCAGCACGAGGCAGCCCCCCAGCAGCAGCCCCAGCCCCTGCAGCAGCACGTGCAGCCCCAGCAGGGGCTCCGGAGGACGCAGTAGGGCCGGCAACTGCAAGGAGAGACAGTATCAGGGTTCCGGCCGTCTCTGACCTCAACGGCCGAGGGGGAGGGTGTCCGAAAATGCCAGCAGCCCCCACCCCAACACTTCAGTCCCCTGTTGAGTCGCTTTCGTCCTGTGGTCTGACACCCTTCCCAGCGCTGGCTGGCGGTGGGATGGCAAGCCTGACGCCTCCCGCCCATGCCCGCCTCCCGTGCCCTGCTGCATGCCTCTCACCATGTCCACAAGGGCCACGTAGAGGAAGACCCCGGCGGTGACCCCAAACACCCAGGGAGTGAGGGGGACAGGGCCCAAACTGAGCCCCACCCCCAGGGCGGCACCCCCCAAGCCCAGGGCTCCGGACAGGAGGCTCAGCAGCAGCAGCTGCCGAAAGGACAGCCCCGCCTGGAGCAGCATCGCAAAGTCACCTGTTGGGGAGACAGGATGACGGGAGGGGAGGGGATAACCAAGGCTGCCCCTCACCCGCCGCACCCGCCGGCCTCAAGCTCCACCCCTTTCTGGACTCCGCGCCACCCCTCTTCTGCCATTCCTACCCAGTTCGTGGGGCAGCTCGTGGCAGAAGACTGCCAGGGTGGTGCTGAGGCCACTGGAGAAGCCGTCGGAGAAGGCAGCACCTGGGGCCGGCGGAGCGGACGTTGTCAGTCCAGAAGAGTCTCTTCAGGAGCTGCCTCTGCTTTCCCTCCGTAGCCCTCCCGTCCTCTCCCAACAGCCCTCCTGGCCCCAGCTCATTATCAGGAGCCCGGCCTCCCGTCGGACCTGCCTCCCTCTGCTCCCGCCCAGCATACCTATGGCCAGCCCATCGGTGAGGTTGTGCAGCCCATCGCCCAGCAGGACCATCCACGTGATGTTGGCACCACCCCCGTGCCCATGACTGTGGCCTTGGTGCCCAGGAGGGGCTGGGGCTGGTGGGGGCTGGCTGTCCTGCTGCCTCTGGCCCTGGGCCCCTGGCTCTGCAGGAAGGAGGACAGTGTTGGTGACACCAGTGAGGACTGTGAGCTGGAAACCTCTTCGTTTTCTCCCCCAGTCACCTGGAGCGGCCTGTAGGGGCTGGAGGGCCATGCCCCCACCATCCTCCGGGTCCAGGTTTGGTGCGGCGAGATCCCTTCTTTTCCGCCTACAGCAGCTCTGAAATAGGAGGGTATCCCTCCTGGTGGAGGAGGCAGCAGCCGCTGGGGGCTAAGGGGAGGCCAGGCCACAAGCTGGGAAAACGAACACCTGGTTCCACCTCTGGCACCTGGGATGTTCTTTGGCCTCTACCCTCTTCCCTGGTCGATCCCTCCCCCTTTCTTGTTGACTTGAACTCAAGCAAGGACGCCATTTGGCCAGAAGTCCTGGGTCTGTGCTTAAGAAGCCCCCACCTACTCTGTTAGCAGATAGATCCTGTACAACCCGGCAAACATCAGAGATCCGGGAGCACACACCGCCCCTCACCTCCAGACTTGTTTGGCCAGTTCTTGGCTAGGACTCTAGTCTCGTCAGAAGGAGGAGAAAAGGGTGTCACTCACTGGCCTGAGCCCTTGGTGCCGCCGCAAAAGCCCTAGCATATTCTCCAACACGAAGAGCAGGAAGAGGCCTCCAAGCACCGACAGGCCTGGTCCCAGGTCCTCCTCTGGTCGTCCGCTAGTTCCTGCATGCCACCCTTCTTGTGCCTGACAGAGAAGAGGTCAGGGTGGACCCTGAAGGCCCCAGCACCCAAGAACATCCCCCTCCCATGTGGGGCAGGGCAAGCCTTCACCCTTACACTCTACCAGAAGGAAGCTGTGGGCTGAAGCCAGGGGATCAGGGAGTGAGATGTGGGAGCTGGCAGACACCGGGAGAGGATGTCCTACGTATGACTGGGGACACTTGGGTCCATGGAGGCCATCCACCACTAAGGACAGGGGTCTGAGGAGGTGGCTTCACATACATGCGGTAGCAGGTGTAGCAGTGCATCTCCACAAAGAGTGCCCACGGCCAGGGCCCCCAGGAAGCCCAGCAGTGGCCGCAACAGACGAGGTCCCAGGAGCCGCAGCAGCAGCAGGGAGAGAGGAGCAGGGAGGCTGAGCACCAGGACCGCCAGGGCACTATGCAGCAGGGCTGGAGAGAATCAGGGGCTGAAGTCAAGCCGGGGCAGAAGGGAGGGGCCCAGAGGTATGCTGCAAGGAGAGGCAGGATCCCGTGAACCTCCTTCCTTGGCATGGGTCCCACTCCCTACCACTCCCTACTCCCACCCCCCCCACCCACCCCTACTCACTGACCAGACAGTAGATCCCCTGGGGGTGCAGGGGCTGGGGCTTGGATGCAGACACGGCTGTCGATCTGATAAAGCAGGGCTGGGCACAGCAGAGCAAACTGATGAGGAGTCAGAGGAGCAGCGGGGCTCAGGCCGAAATTGACCAGCAGCTGAGAGCCGTTCAGACACTAGGAGAGTTGGGGGTGGTACATTAGGGAATCAAGACCTTTAATGTCTGTCCTTCCATCTTCTGGATCTTTCCTACGGTCCCCTTTGCTCACACTGGCAGGTGCATTGGGGACTGGGGCAAGGGTACTCATAATCAGTGTGTGTCAATTATGAGTATTTAGGGAGACTGAGGGAGGGTTCCCTGAGCCGAGGTTGAGGTGGCAGTGAGCCATGATCGTGCCACTGCACTCCAGCCTGGGGGACAGAGACCTCAACTCAAAAAAAAAAGAGTATTCAATCCAATGCAAATATTCAATTCCATGCAAATCCAGTGCCGGTGAACATTGTTGTCCTTTCCCTTCCTCTCAAGACCCAATCATCACGATCATTTCAGATCATTTCACTGATGATGGAGCGGACAACTAGCACTCTCCATGCCAGAATCTCAGACAGGAGAGGGGCCTGAGCCGCCTGCCAGCCTGCCTCACAACAGCCTGTCACGTGCGCAGCCAGCCTGGCTCAAGCGCGTCCTGCGCCTCACTGGGCCAGCTGTGGGGTTAGGCACTCTGTCTACCCCCAGGTTTATGGGAAACGAGTTCTCTGACTTTATAGATGTAGACAACCATCCACTCCCTGCTCCCTAGATAAACAGCCCCAGTTTCCACCTGGGCTGCTTTCCCGGGACTCTCTGCTCCACCAAGTGTGGCCCTAGACTGGGTCTCGGAGCTCTGGGTGTAGGCTGAGCTGCTGAGCCCAGAGGGGACATATTTCACTAATGAAATAACAGACTCTAAGACCACATTGGGCTTTTTTTTTCTTTTTTGAGTCAGAATCTCACTCTGTCGCCCAGGCTGGAGTGCAGTGGCACACTCACGGCCACCGCGGCCTCAACCTGCTGGGCTCAGGTGATCCTTCCACCTCAGCCTTCCAAGTAGCTGGAACCACAAGCACATGCCACCATGCCTGGCTAATTTTTTTTTATTTACTGTGGAGATGAGGTCTTGCCATGTTGCCCAGGCTGATCTCGAACCCATGGGCTCAAGCAATCCTCTTGCCTCTGCCTCCCAAAGTACTAGGATTATAGGTATGAGCCACCATGCCCAGCTGGTATTTTTTTTTTTTTTTTTTTTTTTGAGTTGGAGTCTCACTCTGTCGCCCAGACTGGAGTGCAGTGGCCGCTCCCAGCCAACGCAGCCTCGACCTGCTGGGCTCCGGTGATCCTTCCGCCTCTGCCTTCCAAGTAGCTGGAACTACAGGCACGCGCTACCACACCCGGCTAATTTTTATTCATTGTAGAGATGAGGTTTTGCCAAGTTGCCCAGGCAGGTCTTGAACTTGTAGGCTCAGGCAATCCACTCACCTCAGCCTCCCAAAGGTGCGGGATTACAGGCTGAGCCACCAAACCTGGCTGATTTTTTTTTTGAGTTGGAGTCTCACTCTGTCGCCCAGACTGGAGTGCAGAGGCCGCTCCCGGTCACCGAAGCCTCGACCTGCTGGGCTCCGGTGATCCTTCCACCTCAGCCTTCCAAGTACCTGGAACTACAGGTGCATGCTACCACGCCCAGCTAATTTTTTGATTTATTGTAGAGATGAGGTCTCGTCAAGTTGCCCAGGCAGGTCTTGAACCTGCGGGCTCAGGCAATCCACTCACCTCAGCCTCCCAAAACGTGGGGTTACAGGCTGAGCCACCGAGCCCGGCTGGGGTGTTTTTTTTAAGTAACTATTAAATATTGACTCTAAACATTTCAGGCCATCTAATCCCATGGCTTCTTCCCGCTCCCTAGAGACGGTCAGACTCACATCCTCATTTAGATGGTCAGCCAACGAATGGTCCAGCAGCAGAAGCCTGTGAAAGAGGTCCAGGCCCGAGGGGGCTGGCCCATGGGGCAGGTGGGGGGCCTTTGACTGCTCCAGGTCACCCCACCCCGAGGTACCCAGAGGCATCCCTGCCCAGACATCCACACTCAGCGCAGGGTCCTGCAGCCTGGAAAGGGTGAGACGGCAAATCAGATCTACTCCTGTGCTCTCAGAAAACCACCTTGCAAGGCCCCCGGGGAGCTTAGGGGAAAAGGGAGGGCCAGCCATTGGAGTGTCCGTCCTAGCAAGACCTGAGAGTTGTCCCTTTATGGGAGTGTCTAGGAATGGGGGCTATGGGGATGACAGAAAGCAAAAAGAGACTGGCCAAAAGTCTATGAATTGGGAGCCAAATCAGTCTGGAGACACTGAGCATTCAGACTAAGAGCAAGACATCTGGGGCCTAGGGATTAAGAGGAGGAGAAAATTGGAAGGCAATAAAGGTAACAGGGGTCTTGAAGGGACACCGAGGAGCTGGGCTCTGAAGAATTGTAACTCCAGGGGTCTCATTTTAGGAAGTCAGATGTAGGCAGCTGGGGAGACTGCCCTAAATACTTCGAGGTGCCAGAGATGTGTCATTGTGGGGGGGGAAGGGCTAGTACCTGTGTGTGGAATTGTCTCCGGCTGGGGCTGCTGCCCGACCAGCCAGAGGCCCATGGTGTCCCAGGCGAAGTCCCTGAACTCGGCCCAGCCCCAGGCTGTGGAGAAGCCGTGCCAGGCCCCCTGCGGTCAGCGTTCCATTCTCTCCATACAGGCCAAACAGCTGGGCCAAGTAATGGCTCTGCTCCTGCTCAGCAGGGCCCAGGTTGGGGACTGAGGCCCCCACCCTGGCCAAGACCATCCACACACACAAGCCAGCCAGCAAATGACTCACTGGGGGCCCCATCACTGGGGCTTAGAGGCTCTGGTTCCAGCTTCTATTCGCCCCGGAACATCCTGAGGACCGTGCCCTGGAAGAACAGGAGCGGGTTGGAACTACCGCTCTACCTGCGGCTCGGGTCCAGGGGAGAGCCGTCACTCGTAGCCCTCTTCCCCACGAGTCCAGTGGCGGCCTCTGTTCTAGCCCTCTTCCTCCCTTCCCATCGGCTCCTGGTGCAGACTCTTGTTGGCCAGCTCCTGAAGCACCTCCCTGCACCCCTAATCCAGAGCTGACCCTGCATCCCCTGAGCTCCATCCTCCCAACGTTGCCCTACTTCTGTATCTCCCCTCAACTCCCAGGGCCTCACTCCTACTGCCAGCCTGAGAGCCGTCACCTCGGGTCCCCTGTCAGGCCCTGCTGTGGATGTTAAGAGGTTTCTGAGTCAGGGAGGGGAAGTCCAGGCTCGGCGTCCAGGTGCCCAGGTGGAACAGAGGCCACGTCATGTAGAAGGCTGAGATGGACAAGCCCCCACCCCAGCCCACCTGCCTTGGGGCGGGGTCAGGGGTGGGGCCAGTGTGGGAAGGTTCACATCAGAGAAGAGTTAATGGTTCACTGGTCTCTGGGACTGGGGTCAAAGGTCAAACTCTGCTGGGCCCCTGAGTAGGGAGGGGCCACTCTTTGCCCCTGGGAAAGTCGCATGGCTAAGGAGAACCTGGGCCCTGTTTTCTCCTCTTAAATAATTCATGCCACCCCTAACCCAGCTAGTACCATTTTAGCCCTTTCCCGCATAAACTCCGACCCCTCCTACCTTACATCTGGCACTGAACTTCATCTCCGACCCCCATCCCCATGTTCCCTGGGGAAGTTGGACCAGGTTTCCCTAACCTGGAGAGGAGGGGAAGAGGCAGACAGTGGCAAACCCAGATACATGCGGGAAACCCAGATACGTGGGGAAGAAACTGTTCCTAGCTGTTTCTCACTCCAAGAAGAGTGAGAGCCGGAGTCCTGGGAATTCATGACCAGGAAAGGGGAAACCCTGGTGGGAAGACAAGATGAAGACCTATGCTCCCTTCAGCTCTAAGATCTGGGTCTAAGATCAGGTGAACAAAGTCTGACTGGCGGTAGGGATCGGTCCAGGGGGTCGAGGCTGGTATTACCTGACAGCAGGAGACAGGAAGGACGCCCAGAAGAAGGGGGACCCAGCCTTCTAGATTCCAGCTAGGGGGTAAGCAGGCAGGCGGGCAAGGGTCACCTGCAGGGAGGGGGCAGGGGAGGGACACTACCTTAAAGGGGCAGGTCGCTTTGCCTAGCCATCTTACATGTAACCCATCCACTTTCCACCTCCCAGGGACACCTTGCCTTCCCATATGCCTGGCTGCTCACCTCTTCCTTTCCTTTTTTTGGGGGCGGGGTTTGAAGTCTCACTCTGTCACCCAGGCTGGAGTGCAGTGGCATACTCTTGGTCACTGCAGCCTCGACCTGCTGGGCTCCGGCGATCCTTCCGCCTCAGCCTTCCAAGTAGCTGGTACCACAGATGTGTGCCACCACACCTGGCTTGCTTGTTTGTTTGTTTATTCATTCATTTATTTATTTATTTATTTATTTATTTATTTATTTGGAATCTCACTTTGTCGCCCAGACTGGAGTGCAGTGGCCGCTCCCGGCCACCGCAGCCTCACCTCCGGGCTCCGGCAATCCTTCCGCCTCAGCCTTCCAAGTAGCCGGAATTACAGGCATGCGCTACCACGCCCGGCTGATTTTTGATTTATTGTAGAGATGAGGTCTTGCCGAGTTGCCCAGGTGGGTCTCGAACCCGCGGGCTCAGGCAATCCACTCACCTCAGCCTCCCAAAGGCGTGGGATTACAGGCTGAGCCACCGAGCCGGCTTATTTATTTATTTATACCTGGAACTACAGGCGCGCGATACCATGCCCAGTTAATTATTTGTCTTATTTTATTTTATTTTTTTGAGTTGGAGTCTCACTCTGTTGCTCAGACTGGAGTGCAGTGGCCGTTTGCGGCCACCGCAGCCTCGACCTGCTGGGTTCCAGCTATCCTTCCTCCTCAGCCTTCCAAGTAGCTGGAATTACAGGCATGCACTACCACGCCCGGCTGATTTTTTGGTTTATTGTAGAGATGAGGTCTCACTGCCCAGGCGGGTCTCGAACCCGTGGGCTCAAGTAATCCACTCACCTCAGCCGCCCAAAGGCGTGGAATTACAGGCTAAGCCACCGAGCCCGGCTTAATTTTTTATTTTATTGTAGAGATGAGGTCTCATCAAGTTGCCCAGGCAGGTCTTAAACCCGCGGGCTCAGGCAATCCATTCACCTCAGTCTCCCAACGTGCTGGGATTACAGGCTGAGCCACCGAGCCCGGCTATTTTTTTGACTTATTGAAGAGATGAGGTCTCGGCCAGTTGCCCAGACTGGTCTCAAATCTATGGGCTCAAGCAGTCCTCTTGCCTCTGCCTCCCAAAATGCTGGGATTACAGGCATACGCCACCGCACCCAGCTGAACCTCTTCCTTTTCCCACAAAAAGTAAGGGAGTCCAATACAGAGTGATAACATTTATTAGGAAGGAGAGATTTCATATGACTCCCATATAACACACAGAAGAAACAGATGGCAACTGTTGTGTCTTAAGAGGAAGGAGGATGGGCAGAGGGTCCAGCTTCAGCTGGACAATGGGGGTTGGGGGTATGGGCTTAGGGTGGATAAGGCCACTGCTCACCACCCCTCCAGTGAAGTTTAGTGGCTAAAAGGCTGTTACACTACCACCCCATCCCAAAGCTGCAGCCCAGTAGAAGGCTGTTTTGCTCTCCGGCAGATGCTTGGGACGTGGTTAGTGGCGGGAAAAGAGGAAGAGTGTCTTGCTATCTCTTGCTGCTCCTTCGGGTTTCTTTGCCGTTACTAACAGGGTTGCTGGAGGAGCCGGGAAGGCCTGCAGGTGTGTGGTTGGGCTGGCTTCGAGTAATTCGGGTGCTGGGGGGGTGGGAGGGCGTGTGAGGGGGATGCGGACCACCACCAGGACCTGGTGTGGCACTCAGTCCATTCCCGTTCTGGCTCTCAGAGGCTAGTTGTGGGAGGAGAAGAAACACAGGAATTAGAGAGTGAAGGAAGCAAAGGGTCCATCCCAAGGCCTACCTCCACGCTCCAAAGAGTGCGGCAGTCTTCACCATGCACAACTGCACGTTAATGTGATTGGACCCAGTGCAAAAGGATGTGGGAAGCAAGTATAAACGGAGCCCCAAGAAGACTCAAACGATCGTTCTGGAAGTTGCTATGTGGACCCTGGTATGACATTTGTCTCCCTTCCTCACCTCTGTATCACTGGGAATCAGACCTAGAACTAGCTATTTAGCACTGGGCTCAAGGACCTCTGATAAAATTGCCTTTACCAAAAGCCACTGTAAACTGGAGAAGACTGGCAAGGGAAGGGCCAGAAGTTTCTGTGTTAACACGTGAGGAGGATCTTAAAAAAAAACAAACCAAAACTGATGTGTATGTGTGTACCATGACGATAATATTCATTTGAGAAAATATAGATGCCAGGCTTGGGGGCTCAGCCTGTAATCCCGCGCCTTTGGGAGGCTGAGGTGAGTGGATTGCCTGAGCCCGCGGATTCGAGACCCGCCTGGGCAGCAAGACCTCATCTCTACAATAACTCAAAAAATTAGCCGGGCGTGGTAGCGCATGCCTGTAATTCCGGCTACTCGGAAGGCTGAGGCGGAAGGATCGCCGGAGCCCAGCAGGTCGAGGCTGCGGTGG